TAGACGAAACTCAGAGCTATATGCATGTCAAGTTTCGTTTGTCGCGGTCCCTAATAACCATCCCCGCAGCCCTTAGAAATGCCAACTCCCAGCGAATTACAAAGATATTTCCTTCAGCATTCCCCAGCAACACAATATTTTTTAATTACACGTAGTTTTTCTGATAGACAAAACTCAGGGCTATATGAATGCAAAGTTTTGTTTGTCGCGCTCCCTAATAACCACCCCTGCAGCCCTTAGAAATGCCAACTCCCAGCGAATTACAAAGATATTTCCTTCAGCATTCCCCAGCAACACAATATTTTTTAATTACACGTAGTTTTTCTGATAGACAAAACTAAGGGCTATATGCATGCCAAGTTTCGTTCGTCGCGCTCCCTAATAACCACCCCTGCAGGCCTTAGAAATGCCAACTCCTGGCGAATTTCAAAGATATTTCCTTCGGCATTCCCCAGCAACACAATATTTTTTTACAAAACTCGGTTTTCCTGATAGACAAAACTCAGGTCTATATGCATGCAAAGTTTTGTTTGTCGCGCTCCCTAATAACCACCCCTGCAGCCCTTAGAAATGCCAACTCCCGGCGAATTTCAATGATATTTCCTTCAGCATTCCCCAGCAACACAATATTTTTACATAAAAGGTGGTTTTCCTGATAGACAAAACTAAGGGCTATATGCATGCCAAGTTTCGTTCGTCGCGCTCCCTAATAACCACCCCTGCAGCCCTTAGAAATGCCAACTCCCGGCGAATTTCAATGATATTTCCTTCAGCATTCCTCAGCAACACAATATTTTTCAACGAAAGGTGGTTTCATTAATAAATATTGGTAAGGTCTATGTGCGTGTCAAGTTTCGTTTGTCGCGCCCCTGAATAATCACCCCTTCAGCTTTCTGCAATATTCGCTCATTGCTAATTCAATGTAAGTATATCTATATTTTTTATTACTGAAATTTATTTGTCTAAATATTCCGCTTAGTATTATTAAGTGAACAAGGTGTCAATAAAAATACCTTATCAGTTCCTTCATTTATAGTGGGGTTGGTAGGGCCTTCGGCATAGTTGCCGCTGCTGCTAGAGCGACTATAAACAGAGTTATGCCTGGGAGAGAATCGAGCAATATCATCGCAAATAATTATCTATTATTAATACTATTCCACATTGTTAATGATGTTGAATAATTTATAAAAAATTTTAACATATATTTAAATAAATTTATAAAATATATTGTCATATATATTATATATATATATATATATTGTGACGGTAAACGTCAAATTAGCGCTGACCATTTAGCTTAATTGCTGCATGTGAGGGCAGCACCTGCCGGGGGGACAGAATAGGTAACGAAGGAATTCGGCACGCGAGCAGACGGAACGCGCGCGACAAGATTTGAACCAGTGAAGCATAGACCATCGTATTGTCCGTCCGCTTACGCTATCGTTCATCAATTCACGTGCCCTTGACATCCACACGCTTCCGAAACAGCCGCAATTAGTAATCCAGGATTGCCGCCGCCAAGGAGCTGCCCAGCTACGAGTCAAAGGCCCGATCGAGAGAGAGAGAGAGTGTGTGAGGTTTCGCCATCGAGGGCGAAACCGGTGCGTGCGCGCTTTCGCGTCCCGCGAACAAAACATTAAGTGACTGTTCGGTGCTGTGCGATTCGCCGTGATTTTCTCCGATCGCCCGCAATTATAAGGTAAGCTGGCCAGCTTGATTTCGCGATCGCGAGCATAAAATAATAACTTGATACTAACTCTCGATGCGTGCATGTAACGGCTCTAATAATAAAGAGCAGCGAGCGTACCGGCAAAACGTGTTGTCGACGAGCGAACGTATACGTAAACAAACGCGCGGGCCGACCTTTTGTGAGTTTAGAAGGATAATAAAAGATCCGATTTACCTTACTAACAAGTGTTTTCATTGATCCTCTCTTCTCACATAGCTTCCACTCAATTTAGTTTAGGTTATAAACGATAATCGGTTGACCGGCGTATATTTTCTCGTGCTCTCCCGGATAAGCAGTGAGCATTAACGATTCACGCGTGTCCCCTTAGTATAATCACGCGACATAATAATTAAACGGTCATACCCCGTTACAATATATATATATATATATATATATATATATATATATATATGGTCAGAGAAGTATCCTTTATTCTGAATGATATTTTTTGTAGAAAAATTGTATATATATATTACATATACAATCATTAATTAAGTTATCTTCCTCTAAATTTTTCAGGCATTAAGACCTGCACATTATGTTTACATACTTATAGAACTATTACACGATTTTACGTTTCGATATGTCTCCGTCATCTTGCCACTCATATATTTCCATATAATCTTTTCGACATAGCCCGAAATATTATATAGGTTAACTAACTCAAATTTTGCTATGCTTTGACAAAATTCATAATTTTACGTTTACCAATCTCATTCAAACTAAAAATTACTGTGATAATACGAATTGTCCTAATTGAGTGTATTATCTTTAATCAGTTTTAAAAGTAAGATTATTAAAACCAATGATTATTAATGAATTTCTGTAACATGCATGTCAATATGAAAATTAAAGTTAGAATTGGATATTTTTTCAATAAAGTGTACATCTTATTGTAAGATTTCTAATGTAATTTTATGATTCTTGCAAAAAGGTGTTATAGTGTTTTATTGAATCTTATTTTATTTAATTGAAGTAATTTCAAACGACGTATACCTAATCATATATTTCATTTAATCAAATTTAATAAATTTTAATAATTTACAATATAAACAATACCTAATCATACATAATAAAATTTTACTTTATTTAGATTACTGAAGAATTAATGAACTATCAAATCTCATCTGTCCGACTGTTTTTTAATAAATTTTAATAAATGGCGGATGAAGCAACTTTTTATATTGGTCATATTTAATTGTAAAGGACTTACTGAATTATTTTCCGTAAATATTAAGATGATGAATTTCAAATTATATTTAATTAAATAGATTTTTTTATTATTATTAATGTTTTCGATGAACGAAAGCTATACCCAATCGCATTTAAATTAACCACTTTTTATGAAATCTACTATTTCTTACGACTAGTGTTATTTAGCCCGCTTCGCGCGCTCTTTTTTTTATGTTTTTCTATTATTTATTACGTTATTTGAACCTTTTACATATCAACTTCAAGATTTCAATGGACATGAATAAGTCATGCTGTTTAAAATAGACTACATACGTTAATATTTATTGATGAATAAAAATAGAACATGTACCCATTTTTTATTTAAAATCGATGAACTATTACTCGTCCTAAGAACGCATTATACTATTATACTATTATACAACACTAAACTTACATATTCAATAGTAGTGATTATGGCTTCAATCTTATATTATTATGAGTAATATTTCAAAGTATAAGAAAATTCTAAATTTCCCGTTCTATTTTTGCATCGACAAATCACAACGCTGGATGTCAGCGACTCATCTTTTTTTAAAGATAAGATAGGAATAAAATATGTAAAAAGTATAAAAATAAAAAATTAAAATAATTATAAGGCAAGGATAAGGATAGGATAGAACCATTAGCTGCGCCTAACAATTTAATTTTGTTGCTTTTTTAACGTATTGGTTCATGGTATCAAGTTTTCCATAGGATTCCTGTGTATCAACAGATATATTATTTTAATTTAACTGTTTTTTCCATTGTTCATCTGAAACCATTTGGAGAGTTTGTTTACATTTATAAATTACATTTCAAAATTTATTTAAAATAAATTCGCAGAATTTCATATAAAATATCAATTTACCATTCTTCTCAATATTTATCATATTTATCCGAAGCTAAACTTTACAATAAAGATATATTCAATTAATTTATATGAACAATAAATAAATGCAATTGAAGTGCATTAAAATTACTTTATCGTATTTTTTTAAAGTTTTTTAATTCCTACAAATTATTATACTTATTTGTATTGATAGATGTAAAGTACTTCAATTTATTATTATGACCGATTTACTCATAATTGTGACACACATGACGAAATTCAGTCAATTAGGTCATAAATAAAATTACTTCATTCAGCATCACTTTTTCATATAGGAAAATAAAAATATATAGGATTAGATACACTGTACGCGTTTTTATCTTCTATTTTATTTCTTATTGTTATATTAATATTAACATATTTAACATAAATTACTTTTTACAAATGTAGATTTTTCCATTTTTTTAAAAACCCATATCACAGCGGAAAATGTGTAATAGTGATAAAACACGTTTTCAAATTTATGATTTATTATATCAAAAACTGCAATAAATATAATCTTATACTATTTTTTTCTCAACGGGTTAATTTATTATTAAACTTTTATTCTACTTTTTGGATAAACATTGCAAAATTACAAGTTTTATTTTACACATTCAAAAACCAAATTTTCGATTATTAATAGAAAATATTTAGAGCAATTTCAACCTATATTATTTGTATAAAACGATTTCTTCGTTGTTAGTTCCATATTATGAGTGTATAAACAATATTACAGTCTACTTTTTTTACTTTCTTATCTTCAAAATTATCCGTAGGATAAATTATGATGATTTAAATTTTTATTTGTAAAATCTCAATTCTAAACCACACCTATACGCTTATTTTCCGCCACATAAAATATCACGCAATTATATCTCAGCCATCAGATCACTATACGCTTCAACGTGGCATCCATCACTTTTTTATAAAGGGAAAGTAATTTTGTAATCATACTTAATTAGTTTATATTACATTTTTTGAGCAGGGAAGGTATATAAAAATGAAATATAATTTTAACATTTCCGTTATAGTATATTTTATTTATTATTTTAATATATTTTAATAAATTAATTTTAATTATTAATTTTTTCTCTGGAACGGTATAATAATCTGAAAAAAAAAATAAAATAAATCTTAATCTTTGTATTTCGTGTACATATATTGATAAAAGCATAAATAATTACTCACGCTCGAATTTGTATGGCTGGCAAGAGCCTCGTATTGGGTTTTCCAATAGTTGGCCTGGCTTCGCCAATAGCGGGTGCTTCGCCTTTTCGCTGTTAATTTCTATAAAAACAAGATAATATGGTTATTTGCTTGAGAATATGAACCTGTAACTATATTATATGTATGTTATACTTACATATTTCAATTTTGAAATTGAGGTGCCCCTTTCCTCGTATTCATCATTGTAGCTGTAAAAATTCATTTTAACTTTAAATTAAATAGGAAAGGTGAAAAAATAAAGGTGACAAAACATGAGTTTGAAGTTCGCAACGTTGCGCTCCAACGAAACAAGAACGTTCGGCGTACTATTTTCACAGAGTTTTTTGCTTTTACAATGACACTGTAATCTATTGTTGATATTAGTATTGAAAAAAAAAGCAAGTTTAATACATATTTAACTATAAAAGAACATAAAAATTAGTATATTTTCCTAAAATTTCGTTTCCGTGATTATGACGTCTTTACTTATAATAACTTTTAATTGAAAACTTTTAAATTTTAAAAATGTCTATTTTAAAAAGTCGTAGGGGTAGTTTGCAAGGGTTCTGAGTTGACTGGCTTTTTCCACATATCCGCAGTGATAATACCTTTGATAAAAAGCACCGTTGCGATTATAAATTTTAGGTAATTGAAAGTTGATAAGTAAAGATGTAATAATCATGGAAACGAATTTTTAGGAAAATATACTAATTTTTATATTTTTTTATAGTTAAATAAGCATTAAACTTACTTTTTTTCAATATTAATATCAACAATTGGTTCCTGTGTCATGGTACAAGCGAAAAACTGTAAAAAAATGAGTAAGTGGAAACCGACCTTAATACGCCGAGCGCTCTTGCTTCGTTAACGCGCAACGTTGCGAACTTCAAACTCATGAAAAAACTACGCGCACGTAACATAGCATAGAGAAAGCGCGAGCGAGGGAGAATGACAGTACGCGCCTAAAGGAGATGTATGCGATTTAAAGAGAGAGATTGATTGATTGATTGAAATAGCTTTATTAGTGCTAAAGCCTGCTGAGGCCATATAGCACGAATCAAAATACAATGTTAAGTATAATTAATTAAAATTAATTAAACGAAAATAATAACTAGAAATAAATGGATATAAACAACAAAACAAAAATAACAATAAGACAACTTAAAGTTGGCTAAAATAGAAATATAAGCCCAGAAAAATAAACTACATGAGGTATAATAAGTATAGTAAGTAGGCCCAGCGCAGTAAGACAGAGAAGTCAAAGTAATCAGTATCATGCAGGCTAGATTTGCCATGTTCAGATCGAGCTAAGATCTAAGTTTATATAGGATCATCCAGCAAGTTGAATGTGTTCTTGACCAAATATTCGAAATAGGCCACTTTGAATGAATCGACTAAGGGCTTTAGTCTGATATGGACCGGAATTTTGCACCAACACTTCATAGCCTGCATACTGAATGACCTCTCATAGGTACTAGTACTGGCAAACGGCAAATCAAACAACGACGACGCAGTTTTCGCACACGCTCTTTCTGAGCGCTTAACATCAGTGCTTAGTTTCGGGAAGGCAGCAACCAGATATTCGGGTTTACCAATGACAAGAATCTTATACGTCAAAACCGCCATAAAATACTCCCTACTTAGTTCAATAGGCAACCAAGATGCCTTTTTATAGAACGGTTCCAACTTTAACTCACGGTTCAATCCGAACACAAAACGCACAATATTGTTTAACATAACCTGTAGCTTTCCATTAAGGCAATCCGGCAGATCACAATATACGAGGCAACAGTAGTCGAAGTGAGGGAACAGAAGAGCAGAAGCAAGCTGCTTTTTTAATTGCCACGACAGGAAGGCGGCCCTCTGTTTGAGTCGCTTCAGATCACAAAAAATCCTCGCACACACCTGCACTACGTGCTTGTTCCACTTTAATCTATCCGTCAGGGTGATGCCCAGATCTCGAATTTTGCTGACAAGTTTGATTGTAGAACCATTAATGAGTATAGGAGGAACAGCATTTAGGTCGAGGCGCATCATGTTCTGCTCAGACCCGATGATGATCGCTGTGACCTTGGAATAATTGAATGATAGGAGGTGCTCATCAGCCCATTCAACCACTAACCTAATGTCCTCATTTAGCCGCTCAACACAAGAAGGTATCTCGGTCCTCTTGCACTGCAAGTAGATCTGGAAGTCGTCAGCAAATAGGATAGCCGTATCCTTGTAGTGCTTTAGGCAATTTATGATACCATTGATGAGTATTAAGAATGCTATAGGACCGGGACTGGATCCCTGCGGTATGCCCGAAGTAAGGTCGAGAAACTCGGTGAGTTCACCATTTAGGTCAATAACCGCTTGAGATCGGCCGGTCAAGTATGAGTGGAACCAAGTGATAAATCGATCGGAACAGTTCAACAAACGCATCGATTTCAGCAAGATGACGTGGCTGACAGAGTCGAAGGCCTTCCTGAAGTCAAAGAGGACTAACAGGGTGACCATCTCCCTATCAATTCCTCGCCTAATGTCGTCAGTCAAACTCAACAATGCTGTTTGTGTACTATGGTGCTTCCGAAACCCTGATTGGGAATTTGACAGCAGCATATTCGCTTCCAGGAATTGGATCAATTTGTTAGTGACTAATTTGTCAAAAACTTTAGCGAAATGGGACAGGTTCGAGATCGGGCGTGTATCTGACTCGGTAGTGGGCTTAGGTACCTTTTTTAGAGGAATAATTGTGGCCCTTTTCCAAGTGTCGGGATAGCATGAAGTAGCAAGCGACGTATTAAAAATATCCGTCATAAATTTGGAGATCACCGGTAGGATATCCCTAAAATAGACAATTGATAAGCCGTCATAGCTGGCCCCTTTGGCCTTCGAAATGCTAGCCAGTGAGGACTGAAGAACCTCGTGATACGATAGGGGCAGCATATCGAAGACCTGTTGATCATTCATTAACGGAATGGTCAAAATGGAATTCAGATCATCCTCGGTGCACAGAGGATGAGCCGTTGCAGCAGAGGCATAATAGCTATTTAATTTGGCTGCATTAAATTGGATCAAAGGCGAATTTAAACGCGCTTCCGTAATGCCAATCTTACTTAGCAACGACCACTTCACAGAGACGCAACTAGTCATGTTTATATGTTCAGTAATGAATTTGTCTCTGGCTCGAGCTACGTCTCGCTTCAACCCCCTACGACTCCGCCTAAAATTAGCCAAGATGCTATTGCTGTTTGCTCGGATTGCCCTAGTATACAATTTATTTATAGTTTTGGATCGTTCTTTTAACATATTATTGAACCAAGGAGCAGGACATTTCCTGACCGTTCGCTGCGTCAATGGAGCATAGCGATCCAGCAGAGTGACAGCAAGGTTTCGAAAAATATCAAGTGATAGACACGGATCATACTTGACCACAGCGTCGAATTCTGTAGCTTCCAACCCTGCTATCAACTCCGATGCATATACGCCCGATTCAAAGTTTCTAAAGTCACGAGTTCTCTTAAGAACCGGAAGTAATGTTCTGGATTTGACTTTATAGTTAATAATCAGATAATCATGGTTGGAGATGAAAGGCGCATCAGATTTTTCGAAATGCTTGATTTTCTGACTTGAGTCAGTTAAAATAACGTCGAGCCATGTGCCGGCTGCAGTGATATGGTATGTCGGGCCAAATGGAACGTTGAAGAGATTATAATTATTTATAAGGTCCTTTAATGACCTACTGTAATATGTAGAGCCCATTAAATTCGAGTTCAAATCTCCCATGATAATTAAATTTGCGTATTTATGAGAGTAAAAACTGAAAATATGGAAGAAATTGTTCAAAACGTGCCCATTTGGGTGTCTATATACCGATGCTACCAGGAACCGTACATTGCTAGATAATGAAAGCTCTGCTATTATAAACTCCGTTTCATCGACACTTTTATTTGATGTATGCGATTTAAAGAGAGAGAGTGTGTGAGAGAGAGTGTGTGAGAGAGAGAGAGTGAGAGAGAGTGTGTGAGAGAAAGAGAGAGAGGTGTGCATTGAATACTTTTGATAAAATGTTTGAACTATTACACTCCGTCACTTACATCTATGCTACTATTACTTTTAGGATTGAAAAAGTTGATCGGTTGCCACTCGAATTTGTTGTATGGTTACGTCTTGTACTGATATAAGGAAATATTTAATGAGCAAAATTGCACGAATGTGAAATAAGAAATGTCTAGACAGTTTGAAAAACTATAAAGCGACTATTCCAGAAGTAAAACTACAGATGACTCGATTGCACCGTCCCAGTGTACCGATCTACATACTCAAAGCTCAGTTGGACTTCTTTTCCCCTTTGCAATAAATCATTAGCTCGCACCTGTTACAATTTCAACGATGATTGCCCCGGAATAGAGAGAGCGAGAGAGAGATTGATTGAAATGTGCTTTATTTATGCTAAGGCCTATTTGGGCCATATAGCACTGTACAATATTAGATTTGCGTATTAACAATATATAGATATAAAATATGTAATTTGAACATAGCAAATAGATAACAATAAAATAATTAGTCTAGATATAGAACAAAGTAAATAATTGTAAGTACATAGATCGTAGTACAAATAAACCTAATAATTAAGCTATATAATCTTATGTAATAGATCATTAAATATTTGAAAGTTTTTGAAAATTTAACACTTAAAGAAAAAGAAACAACCTCTCGTGAGTATTCTGATTAGGCGCGCAAGTATATAATAACAATTTATATAACAAATACAATTCATTATTAATTAAGTTTTAATTAATAATTAATTAATTAAGTCTGATCTCATGAACTGCAGGCGGAAATGTATTTGAATTCATGCTGTCACCAAGATTTCCTCCTCGAAAATACTATTTATATTGAGAAGATGATTAAAGTAAGCAACCTTAAAGGAGTCAACAGTCGGTTTCGACCTAATCTGAACTGGGATTTTGTCCCAAAGTTTCATTGCCTGTATACTGAAGGATTTTTCATACGTACTGGTACTGGCTAATGACAAGTCGAACATGGAGGTTGTTGCCCTCACAGTCGCTCTCTCAGAACGTCTGATGTCTGGACTCAGTTTAGGGAAGAATGGGACCAAGTATTCAGGCTTGCCCAAAGTAAGGATCTTATATGTTTGCACCGCCATAAAATAATTTCTACGAAGATTTATAGGTAGCCATAATAACTTTTGGTAAAAAGGCTC